ACTCAATTCCCCTAAAGCTACTGACATAAAGAAATGACATGAGACATTCTAAACATCACTAGAGGTCCCACATTTTAGTAACAGATTTTTGGTAACAGATTCTAAACATTCTAAACAGATTTTTGTAACATATAAAATTTCACCTTTGTCCATTGCATATAGATAAAACCAAAAGAAAAAACAAAACAAGAAGTTAAATGTTTTAAACCTGATTAGTCATGATCATCAAATGACCATATCTCAAAGTCTTCACACTGTCATACTGTTTTCCATGCTGAAGTCCAAGAATCTGCTTGATGCTCATGATTTCAGCGTTCTCCATGATCTGTTTATGGCTTCCTTCCCTCACATTAAGCAATGTACCTCTCAACGGGAACACACCATAATAATTTCGACCCACAACAGAAATTCCTGCCATCTGTATATACTCAAATCAGTTAAAAACTCTAAAACAAAACCAAGATCATGTCTTTTTCTTTTCAATTTGTTAGTTTCATGTGAATTTAAAATTTAATTCAGTACACATTTTAGAATCATGTTTACAATATCAACATATAGGCTTCTTCATAGTTTCATAGTCCATACCTGCAAGGCATTTTCATGAAATTCATTGTGCACCTGCCTCAGATGTGATCTTGGCAACTGGGGAAAATAAAAAGTCACTAGAAGAAAAAGATTCTAAGCGAATGCTCATGTAAGAGAAAAAGAATTATAGGAACACATTCTTCATGTGATGTCAACTGTTTTGCCAAAGTCCAGCGCAGTAATTTAATTAGAGCAATGTTAGAAATGTAGAGAACTAAACATAGACTTTCTGCTTTTGTGAGACATTTGTAAATTTGTAAGATATTTTTGTGTTTATTATGTGTTTGATTCTCTATGTATTTAAACTTTCTTATTTTATTGGGTACTTGAATAAGGTCTATAGATCAATGATATAATGCACAAACATAGATCATATTAGGATTAACTACACTCAATGGTACATAAAAGTATGTGCTTTGTTAACAGGCATGTCACTACAAGAACGAAAAACAATGAGATTGAAATTAGGATAGGGCCACCAATGAGTCCATATCTAGGAAAATCCATTGCCAACACTGTATACTCAATTCAAAAAATTTAATGGGTATTCACAGCTAGCATCTTATTATGATTTTAATCGGGTATGTGATAGAGATACTCACAATATCTCCAAAGTCAGCAGCAGTCCTAGCATTGAAGGAATCTTGCCACTGAGTTCATTGTTATTAAAAACCCTGCTCAAATTAATTCACAAGATGACATTGAAATTAGGGCTCAGATTGAGAGAAACGGGGCTGCCCAGAAATTCCGTCCAACATTCCTCATCATATTATAAAATTAAAAAAAAGAAGAGAACACCCATTATTCACATGGAAGATCTTATACGTACGAATACTAAAATTAACGAAAACATCAAAAAATTCAGTTTGTTTTGTTCAATTCTTTTGAGCATTAATCTACTAACGAAACCATATTCAATGATTCTAAATTTTTTAAAACTAGAACCAAACTACCTGATTTCAACCAGTTCAGATCAGATTCCCCGTTTAACCAGTTTTTAAACATCTTTTAAGTATATACACAAACACAAGTAAAGTTCTAAGAGCCGCCAGAAGAAAAGAAAAGAAGAAAAGAAAAAGTCATACACTAAGGCATTTTCTAAACTGCTGTTTAACATGTTGCTTAAAATTAGTTATCAAGAAATGTTAATAACATAGAAAGATGAGATATATAAATGACAAACTTATCTGGAATGACAAAAGGGGTCCAAACCAGCCAGTCAAGGCTATATAGCTTACAAGCTATTCACAAAATTAAAGCCATTTCTTATTTTTGGGATGGTGATAACAAATTCTATTCTAAATTACATAGAAATGACGGTTGCTACAACAACCAACCAATGTAAAATTTTCCACCTTACCATGAAACATTGAGCCCCAAATGGAAAACCAAATTAAATCATGAATTTGTTGCAGACTGACACAGAAAAGATTTTGCAGCAAAGGAGAATCTAAAAGCCTAATTTCGCCGGAAAAAGTGAAGTGAGATCAACTTACTGGCACAACCCGACTGGTGTTTGCATCCCCAAATGAAACCGAAGCTAAGGACTTTGAAGGCCATGCCTTAGCATTCATCGCTCCCTCTTGCAAATTACTTCTCTTGCAGGGCTCCTTTAGGGAATTGAAGAACTGGACTGCTCGATTCAGATAGGCCAAAGGATGTTCCCACAAGCTCTTTAACTTCATATTCGGGATGTACAGTCTCCAAACCAATCGAGTACATGCAGACAGAGTTGGTAAAAGGAAATAGAGCAACCTCAAAAGCACGAATGCAGTGGCCAAGGCCAAATATGTCCCCTGCTGAAGCAAATTCTCTGGAGATCTAGCCTATGAGAATGGGCAACTTTCCTGCTCGGGGTGGTTGTTTTTTCCATCATCAGATGACTGTCCAATTCTTTCCAAGTATGTTCCATTCAATGGCTCAGTCTTAAGGCCTAAAAAAGTGACCTTGTTTTCATTAGATATCGCTTGAGAAATTTCTTCAGTAATTTGATACAAATAATGCAAAGAACAAAATACTACAAGTTCTTATGGATAAATGAAATCAACATATTCAGAAAAAAAAATGTAAGATCTTCAAGTGAGTTTCCTTTAAACAATGACCAGAAAAGTTCCAGGGTAAGGCCTTACCAGTAACATCATCGTAGAAAGAAACAAGAGAACCAAGGGTCCGAGAACCATGATAGCATACACGCATGGTAGAATTTCGAAGGAAAAGACTAGGAAACCCATGGTATTATTGTAGAGCCATAATCAGTAGAATCAAATTTGGGCCTTTTTTTACGAGCCCAAGACGAAGAAAACTAGGGTTCCCTATGAGGCCATGCTTAGCCTCGTACAGCAGCAATTAGGCGGTGGTCAGCCTCCTGGAACAATCGCCGCCGCCGCTAATAAGGTTTTGGGTGTTTTGAAGAACAATAACCCCAACAAGAGGGAGGAGATTGAGAAATTGTTGAACCCTATGTCGAATCATGTTTTCGATCAAATGGTTTCCTTTGGGAACATAATCACTGATTTCCAAGAAGAAGAAGACAATGTTATGATTGATGATAATGTGGGTTTTACTGTTGTGTTTGACGAGGAAGAAGAACAGAATGGTTTTGATGATGATGATCTTAAAGTTGAGACCAAGCTTTTGGGTCATCTCCAATTCGATAATTTCAGCCTTGTTAAGTGTTTGTTGCAGAACCGATTGAAGATTGTGTGGTGTACTCGTCTAGCCAGGGCCTAGGATCAGGAGACGAGAGAGAAGATTGAGGAAGAAATGTTGGATTCTGGACTGGAATTGGCTGCAATTCTTGAGCAGTTGCAAGCCGATTGAGAGAGAGAACACATAGAGAGAGAGAGAGAGTTGGAGACAAAAAGGAGATCAGGGCCTTTTTTTAATTTTTTTTTTTGTTTTCCAGGTACAAAACGACGTCGTTTTTACTTTGGCGACCAAATTTTTTTTGTCGCCAAAAAATTTCATTTCCCCCTCCCTGTTTGAAATTTCCCTCCCAAACACTTTTGGCAACCAAAACACCATATTAGTGGCAAAAAAGGTACCTTCGGCAACAAATTTTTTTAGTTGCTAAATCTCAATCAACGGCGACTAAAATATTAGTCGCTAAAAGTACAAATTTGGCGACTAAATTTTTTTGGTCGCCAAAATGTAACCTTCCGCGACCAAATTTGTAGTTGGTCGCGAAAAGCATACCAATTTATGCGACTAACTCATTTTTAGTCCCCAAAATGTGACCTTCTGCGACCAACTCATATTTGGTCGCCAAAAATATTGATCATTCGTTAGTTGCTAAATCTCAATCAACGGCGACTAAAATATTAGTCGCTAAAAGTACAAATTTGGCGACTAAATTTTTTTGGTCGCCAAAATGTAACCTTCCGCGACCAAATTTGTAGTTGGTCGCGAAAAGCATACCAATTTCTGCGACTAACTCATTTTTAGTCGCCAAAATGTGACCTTCTGCGACCAACTCATATTTGATCGCCAAAAATATTGATCATTCGTGACTAATTAATATTTGGTCGCCAAATGTTATTTTTTTGTGACCAAAAATTTTTTAGTCGGCAAAAATAGTCGATAAATGTGTAAATTCTTGTAGTGATGTTTCGTCACCAATAAAAAAAAAATTTAACTGATAAAAAATAAATAATAAATAGTAACATGTAAAGTGTAGACCCTTCAATTATTGTGCAATTACACTATTAATGATAAGGCACTTTGGCCTAGTCCAAGTGAGATAATCGGATGTGATTTATGTGACAGCACACAAGCTTGGCCTTTATTTTACATTTTTTCCCCCTCTGGTTTTGCCTTCTAAGCTACAAGGACAGTTGAGCATAGTTCAACATACTTCAAGGTGCTAAGCTTATTTAAAATGGATTTAGGCTGTTTTCGAACTGTCAAAGTTTTTTTTATTCTTAAATTTTCTTATCTATTATTTCTAAAAAATTAATGATTTTATTTAGTTTTAATTTTCTGAATTCACTTTTCAAAAAATTGAGCTTTTTATTTTTCGTACTTTTTTTTTTACTAATTTTTTTAATATTTGAAGTAAGTTTTTTAATTTTTAAATACACCAAACATAAATACACTTAAAAAAATATATTATTTACATAAAAAAATCTTTCAAAAATTCACTAAATATAAAAAATATAAAAAGAAAAGAAAGAAAAAAACACGAAATAGCTAACATAATAATGTCAAAATATAAAATTTCGAGACACGATTCAACACTTACAAATAACTTCAAATAGAAGGATAATCCGTCTCATGTTCAACTGGTTTTTGTTACATGGCATTTGCTAGCTGAAGTGAAGATGAAAAATTCACTCCAGAAAAGCCTCAATTATCAATCACGCTGCAGACCCCCAGTGGGGGTCGCACCCCCAGTGAGGTGGCAAGCCCCCCTGAAACTCAAAATAAATAAATAAATAAATAAAACAGTTTTTTTTTTGTCTAATCACGGCGCGCCACCTCACTGGGGGTCGACCCCCAGTAGGGGTCCGAAGCATTTTTCCTCAATTATAGAGGGAAAAGCTGCAATTTTGATAATATTATAGCACGGAAAACCTCCTTCCTCCAATACTTTCTTCCATTCAAGCTCAATCCTCTCTTTTCCACCCGAACGGTGAGCAATCATTAGCAGATCGAACAACAATCATGTATCGTCAAACATGCCATCACCTTCCGGATTTAGAACTACGTCAATGATAATCATCTTTCCAGTTTTCTTAGGTATTGCTTTCCGACAATCTTTCAAGATTTTAACACAATCTTCGTCGTTCCAATCATGCATTATCCACTGCATTCACAAATAATTGTTAGGCATCACCGATTTTGTTTAGTAACGTTTTTCTTCCTTATTTTCTCTTTCTGTTTTCAAATATTATGACATTTGTGAAATTGATACTACAAATCTTATAATTAAATCATTTTTAGTTATAACTAAAAAAAATAATAGGTCATAAGACATAACCAATGACATTTTTGGTCATAAAAAAAAATAATCAAAATAGGTCATAAGACATAACCAATGACATTTTTGGTCATAAAAAAATAATAATCAAAATAGGTTATAACTAACATCACAATGAATTATAATTAAATCATAACTAGGAGTCATAACCAAATACTACTTGAGGAATAATAAAAGATATTTTCAATCATAACTGAAATAAAAGCACAACAAATCATAATTAATACTACAATGAGTTATAACCAATATCAATTAAACATATTTACAAACCACAAAAGTTATAACTAGACATAAAGGCTATGTATTATAGAAATTTCCTACATTTAGTGGTTGTTCGGCATGTGTTAAAATAGCACATACTATTTTAGTATATTATCCTATTTAGGTCACAATTATCTTATTTAAGTTACATTACCTCTCTACCACATCATTTCAAACCCAACTGATATTTCATATTTTTTCATAAAATGTCAAAAAATATACTAATCTAACACTTTCCAAATAACCTCTTAATAGTATAAAAGAAAATTGTGTCCTTGCCAAGCTATCTCAGGGCAAGGTTTGTGTTAGGAATGCTAGATATATAGCAAGAGTTTTTGTGTTGATTGTTAATTATATTCTATGGTACAACCTCTCAAATTTATATTAAATCAGTTTGGTCAACTCGTAGGCCACGGATAAATTTTAACCCACGTGACATATTTGAAATAATTTGATATATATAAATATTGATATATTTTAGGAGTTTTCTTAAGTGTGCAAGTGCACACCATGTGCCACTTACACAAAAAGTGTAAGTGTAAGGTGTAAGTATAAGTATAAGGTGTAAGTGTAAGGTGTAAGGTGTAAGTGGGTTGCACATGGTGTGCAACCTCAAAAAAGGTGTAAGTGTAAGGTTTAATTTTTTACAAAAGGTGTAAGTGTAAGGTGTAAGTGTAAGGTATAAGGTGTAAGGTGTAAGTTGCACACCATAACCAAACCCTATATTTTAAACTTATAAAATGATAATACAAAAAAAAAAATAATAAGAAAGGTTTCTGTAATTATTGAAATAAATCTGTACAAAGTCAAGGAAAAAAAATAATTGTGAAAAATAAAATGATAATTTAATAAAGGGAAATTTGGCCATAAATCCCTCTTACCTTCCTTTTCTTGTTAAAATGACCCCCCAAAAAAAATTATACTTTCAAAACCCCCTCATAATTATATAGTCTTTTATAAAGGACAAAAATTTTCAGATTTATGTTTTGTGTGACAAATTTACCTCTTCGCACACACTCTCTATCTTTTTCCTCTTTCTCTCCATCAGTTTCCCATCTCTCTTCCAACTCTTTCTTTCTCTATATCTTTCTAAGAGATCTCTCCACCACCACCATCATCACTATCTCTACTACCACAACTACTATGGCTACCATCATTTCTACCACCTTTGTGGTCTCCGCCAACACCGTCTCAACCATCAATGCTGTTTGTCATCACCACCGCCACCACCGTTTCACCACTAGCATCTCAACCACCAGTGCCATTCGATGCCACCATCGTCATCCTTAGCATCCAAGACTTCAGATCTAAGATTGATGACCTCAGATTTGAGATTTATCATCTCAGATCTATATTCTCTCCCTCTTTTTCTCTTTGTCTCCTCATCATGTTCTGTTTTTCAAATAGTAAAATTTTACTCTGGTTTGAACCAAATCTAAGTTATAGCGATTCAGATTTTGACCCATCACCTATTGTATTTCGAACTCGGGTTGGTATGGTTTAGAATGGTTATTTATATCTTATTTCACTTGTCTCCCTTCTATTTTGGTTATCGGATTGTAATTGTGCGTTTGAAACAGGTTGGTTACTTGTTTTCCAAACCTGCCATGCCCAGATTTTGGCTTTTCCGCTCAAGCGGGCATTCTTGCGCTTGAGTGAGATTCACAAATTTTTTGCCTCAACTCGAGGAGCCATTCTTACGCTTGAGCAGGATTTACCAACTCTCAGTATTTTTTTTTGCATACCTGAAAATACTGGGAGAGTGCATTTGACACTTAAGCGGCGTTTCCTACGCTCGAGCGGGTAGACGCTCAAGCGTCACTTCTCGCGCTCGAACGAGACCTTCATCTGCAAAACTTCTGGAAGTGTGTATTTCATGCCCGAGCATAACTTTTCACGCTTAAGTGGACATTTGTGTCTGGCGCTCGAGTATCACTTTCCATGCTCGAGCGGACTACGTGTATAACAGTCCGTGAGGATGATATTTTTGTTTACTTTTTCATTTCTCTCTCTCACTAGAGCTCTCCAAAAACATAAATCTTCACATTCTCCCTCTAAAATACTCACTCTCTCTACATTTTGAGAAAAAGGTAGAGTGTCTCAAGATCTTCATTTTGATCTGAATAGAAGTGGGTTTCAATGTTCTTGGAGTTTCACTCTTTGCTTGGCTCGTCTTTTTTCTTTGAGGTATGGATTTCTCTACACCTTCATATGTTATTTAGCTTGGATATTGTTATTTGTGTAACAATGGTGTAATTTGGGGATGTTTTAAGCAAACCTAAGGTTTAGATGTGAGATGAAAAGAACGATTTTGGGTGAAGGTGAAATAAATGATTGTGGGGTTTGAGAATGATGTTGTATTGTGTCTAATTTCATGATTTAGGTACTTAGTCAATGTTTTGGAAAAAAATGGGAAATTTGCCCTAATTGGATCAAATTATTATTTTGTATAAATCATTGAAATTGACAATGAAAATGTGAGATTGAAAGGGTATTGATATGAACGGTGGGATTGGTTATGTATTATCTCATTCTTTGGAAATCTTAAATAAATTATCTGTCTTGAGACTTAATATCTGTTTAGAAATATCTGTATTAGACTATCAGGGGAGGATAACTATGATTGTTGTAGAAATTGCATAAGGATTATGTGAATTAAAACTAATCCATGGTTGGCTATCATTGTATATGATCATGTTGTAAATACATTGTTTTTGTATAAATCATTGAAATTGACAATGAAAATGTGAGATTGAAAGGGTATTGATATGAACGGTGGGATTGGTTATGTATTATCTCATTCTTTGGAAATCTTAAATAAATTATCTGTCTTGAGACTTAATATCTGTTTAGAAATATCTGTATTAGACTATCGGGGGAGGATAACTATGATTGTTGTAGAAATTGCATAAGGATTATGTGAATTAAAACTAATCCATGGTTGGCTATCATTGTATATGATAATGTTGTAAATACATTGTATATGTATGATTATTTGGAAGGAAAAAAGAAGTGTACTCCATATGTGATTATGTGTTTAAATACATTGCATATGTATGAATGTTTATGAGGAGAAAGGGGATAAACTCAATTATAATTAAGTTGGCCGAAGTGTCCTGGGTGAAAGTCCTGAAATTTATACATGAGTGCCGATCCCGCGAATGAAATATCCATAAAATGGCAAATCAAAACTTATACATTAGTGTCGATCCCGCAGACGAAATATCCATAAAATGACAGTTGAAGTATTTATGTATGATTTTTATGATTGGGATAAACATGGTGTTGTAGTCTCAGTTTGGTTGTTGAAAAATAATGAAAGTAACTTATGAATTGAGATAAATAATTGAATTGGAAATGAATTGGAGGAACCGGACTATGAATTGAGAATTTATGTCTTAGGAGCACATATAGTGTGGATGTTTTATCATAGGCATTCTATACGCATATTGTATTTATACCTTTGCTAAATTTCGTATACTATTTTAGATAATTCCTACTGGGCTGTAGCTCACCCTATTTGGAAATAACATTTTCAGGTGTTGGTGAGTTGCCTCCGCCGAGGCAATAGCTTGGAGGGACTGTGGAAGTAAGAGCTTTTTTATTTTGATTATTTCTTTTGTAAAGCCAAGGGTTTAAAATGTATTGAGCGAAGTTCATTTTTGTGTAACCAAGCCATGACTTGAAAAAATGTAAGCCTACAAGGCATCTATTATTGCTATACTCTTTTGTATCCTTAACTCTATGTAATGAAAGGATAATATGTTCCGATGCATGATATTATTTATATATGCTTTTGGATTATATTTATTGTGCATTTTTTGGGGCGTTACATAAGGCAATATATGTGCTCTCTCTATTTCTCTATTTTTTTCTTTGGCATGTCCTCTGTTTTTGTTTGACAGAATGAGAGTAAAATTTTACTCTAGTATGTGCTTTGTTTTTATTTGATAAAATGAGAGTAAAATTTTACCTCTAAGGCAATATATGTGCTTCACGATATAAAATTTTACTTTGAATCATAATAAATTTTACTCTGATTTAGACTCTGAACCAGCGTAAAATTTATTATGATTCAAAGTAAAATTTTACTCTGAAATATACTGTGAGTATGACTTTACAAGAGAGTTGATATATATATATATATATATATATGAGAGTAGTATAGTAAAAGAAACAAATTTTAAAATATTAGGGGGTTTTGAAAGGATCTATATAATTCTTGTCCTTTTAAAAGACAAATTAGACAGTGCGGGGTATATCACCAAATCTCCCTATAATAAATAGGTAAATTACAATTAAAGGGTATTAAGGCCAAGTTTGGTTATCCTAAATAAGTACACACTTTTTATCTTTTTATCTTTTTTTCATCACATCATCTCTCTATTTTTCTACATATCTTTTCGTAAAAAGACAAAAAGTACACTTATTTAGGTCATCCCAAATGACCCCTAAGTGTAAATGATATTATGAGTATTTGTATAACCAAATTAACACTGTTTGGTTTAAATTAAAGGGGAGAATCTTGATAATGTCAAAAAAAGTAAGGAAGGTTTCCGTAATTATTGAAACTGCAAGATAGATTTTTGTAATTATAAAAAACCTAAGGGAGGTGAGTGTAATTTACCCTAATTATTATAGTGGATTAATAGAAAGTCCCTTCACATATCTTCATTATAAATCAACAATGCTAGAGGGCCACAATTTTTGTGGCCACAATGGCTCAAAACTGCCAAAACGACATCGTTTTGAGTGCAAAACATACCAAAACGACGTCGTTTTAACAGTTTTGAGCCATTGTGGCCACAAAAATTGTGACCCTCAAACATCTTCCATTATAAATCTTACCTTCATGAAGGCAGCATCAGCACTAGGAATTGCCTTAAACATGTCACCCCCAACATGAGAAACTCCACCGTACTCCGGCGCTGTAGCGATGACATGTGGCAGATCAAAGTTGATCCCCTTAATATGAGGATACACCTTTACGATCTCACCCATGGCTACCTCCGTCCCACCTCCCCCATCAACCATCGATCTGACGCTACAAAACCCATCTTTGTATCCTGTCATGATCGCTTTCATCGTGATCTTGGCCGTATATCCCATTCCATCATTGAAGATCTTGTTGAGTTCTGGGTTCATGGAACAATAGAGTCTGCAAGGTGAAGGAGAGTCGATGAACCCGGTAGCGATTTTGGGACAAGGTGATTGGGGAGCCGTGAGAGTGTAGGATATCTGCTATCTACAACAGATTTAACGCTATGTTTGGATTGAGTGATTTGAAGGGAAAAGAAAAGAAATTGAGAAGTATGTATTTCTATTACTTGTTTGGATAACTTAAGTAGAGAGAAATATCGAAAAATTGAGAGAAATTCATTTCTTTTATAACCCTCATTTTCAATCTTTCCAAAAGTGGAGAGATTAGGATAGAAAATAAATCAATATTGTCATAATACTAATTTTATCCGCGTAAAAATAAAAGAAATAAAATGATTGAAAATATAAAAAGGTTATTTTGGTAATATAACATAAAATAATTTCTTTTATTTTCTCTTATGAAATCTAACTAAATAAGAATGAGAGAAATTTTAACAATTTTTTTTTATTTCTTACTTATTCAAACAAAAAGAAAAAAAAATTATAATCATTTCTTTTTTTTTTTTCTTTTTTCATAACTTAAATAATTCTTTTTTTTTTTTCCGCTCTTGAGTTCCTAAACATAGTGTACGTGCCACAGAGTCTGCAAATTAGAACATGTATTTCCACATCCTTGTTTGGGCTTGTAGCAGTCCCTTTCGCTTTTATATGGGAAGTGGCAAACATACTTTATTGATAGATTATTGCGATCAAATTTATATAATTGAAAATATAAAAAGGTTATTTTGGTAATATAATATAAAATAATTTCTTTTATTTTCTCTTATGAAATCTAACTAAATAAGAATGAGAGAAATTTTAACAATTTTTTTTTATTTCTTACTTATTCAAACAAAAAGAAAAAAAAATTATAATCATTTCTTTTTTTTTTTTCTTTTTTCATAACTTAAATAATTCTTTTTTTTTTTTCCGCTCTTGAGTTCCTAAACATAGTGTACGTGCCACAGAGTCTGCAAAGTGGAACATGTATTTCCACATCCCTGTTTGGGCTTGTAGCAGTCCCTTTCGCTTTTATATGGGAAGTGGCAAACATACTTTATTGGTAGATCATTGCATTTGCAAACGAGAAGAAAGTAATTGGTCGATCAAATTTATATATTATCTCTTGAGTTCCTAAACATAGTGTACGTGCCACAGAGTCTGCAAATTAGAACATGTATTTCCACATCCTTGTTTGGGCTTGTAGCAGTCCCTTTCGCTTTTATATGGGAAGTGGCAAACATACTTTATTGATAGATTATTGCGATCAAATTTATATATTATATAAAGAAAATAGAGTTTTTATTGAGAAAGTTTATGAGAGTTATGAGAGTTGTAAGTTTATGAGAATTGTAAAGATTTATTCCATAATTGTTAATTTTTATAATTTTAAAAATATTTAAAAATAATTTTATTAACTAACAAGGTGATGGCAGAGCCGTGAGAGTGTATAGCATCTGCTATGCGGAGCTCTACAGCAGATATAAGTGCCATAGAGTCTGTAAAGTGGTACATGTATTTCCATATAGTCTGCAAACAGGAAGAAATTAATTGGTTGATCACAAATTAAAAATTAATCAAATATGCATATTCGGAGATCTAGGCATATATTGTGGGTGTCTAGGAAATTGTTATTTTAATAGATTATTTTAATTTTTAGTTATTTTAGAAGGTTAAATTTTTTATATTTTAGAAGATGGTTGTATTTTTTTGTAATTAGATGTAATGTTTGTACGAAAAAAAATAAAATAAATATGAATTTGATGTGATATTTTATTTTATTAGTTATTTCAGCCTCTTTTATCTTTTTGTGAATTTTAACTAAAAAAATAATCCAAAACTCACTTGCCAAATAGGTGATTAGGGACTGGTTTCTCACCAATCAGTGATCGAATTAGAAAGTATTGTTAGGTCTGTGGGGGCTCACTAAAGGTCATGTTTAGATAATCTGAACCGTTTAATGTGTAGACCTTGTTGATAATATATATACTTAAAAAATCAAGTTGATCTGATATCGAGAGTTATGCGATCCAATCAGTTTTGTATAAAAAAAATAGACCGTAAAAAAATAAATGGTTAATAGAAATCCGATCCGATAAGATAGCTATCGATATCCGATTAATTTAATTTTTTATAAATATATAATATTTGATTAGTTTTATACATTAAATAATTCAAATTATCAAAATAAAACTCCAGATAAATCTCTAAAGGCCTAACAATACCCTTAAATCCGACGACACACAGGAGGGAAGCCCAGCCGGCGATTATTGTGACAACGTGTAACATATGCATTAGTCAGTACTTTCTAAATGACTGAACTGCTTGGATAACATCGTCCTCCAAGATTTTCAAATCTTACTTTTGTCTTTTCATTTTATTTTTTATTTTTTATATTTTATGTTGCTTCATTTATATTGGGATTGATTTATAAATTTGGACATCCATCTATATATTAGTAGAACTTTTTAATCCACAAGTTATATAGAAGTTTTAATATTTTAATCTTAATTTTTTAATTTTTTGATTAAAAAAAAAATCTTAATATTTATTGATTTCTCTCAATTTAGAAGTTTTTTTTGACTTCTCACATACATACTGTTATATATTTTTGCAACTTCTTCTATACACTAAAGTTAGTGATGAGATTATTAAATTATTTTTATAAAAAACTAAAAAAAATAATTTGTATATTAAAAAAATATCTAAAATAAATATAAATTCTTATTAAATCTATATATTATATAAAGAAAATGGAGTTTCTAATCCACAAGCCTTGTGAGAGTTCTAATATCCAATCTTGATTTTTAAATTTTTTGATTTAAAAATAAAAATAATAATAAAAAAAACTTAACATTTGTTGACTTCTTTCAACCCACAAGCTTTTTTGACTTATCACATACCTACTGCTACACCATTTTCAACTTCTTCCATATAATGATGGGATTGTTAAATTATTTTTATAAAAAATCTAAAAAAAACTAATTTGTATATTAAAAAAATATCTAAAACAAATATAAATGCTTATTAAATCTATCTATCTATCTATCTATTTATTATCTAAGTAAAAGGGTGTTTTTAACCACAAGTCTTGTGAGAGTTTCAATATCTCGAACTAAAATTTCTAATTTATTGATTTTAAATAATTTTAAAAAAATCCTATCTCATTCAAGCAAAAATAAAAATAAAAAGAACAAAGAAAAAATAAATAATAAAATAAAAAATTTAATATCTCTTGATTTATTACTTTTAAATGGAAAATATATCAAATAAAAAATAGAAAGTATGCTAATCCATTTTAAAATTCAAATTTGAAGGGCACTAACATAGCGATCCCGGTTTTCCCTCCTTTGTTTATTGTATTCTGGACTCGGTTCCGTGGATGTGTTGTTGTCTTATTCTCATTTACATCCTTCACTCTTGTATTTTGAGTCTTAGGTTGTGTTGGGCAGGTTCGAAACAAGTTTGTTGTGTTTGAAAACATAGAATTGATGCCCAGATTTTGGTCTTCACGCTCGAGCGGGGCTTTTGACGCTCGAGCGGGCCCCTTTTCTTTTGCTTCTCCGCTCGAGTGCGGATTTTGACGCTCGAGTGGGATTATCCAACACTCAGTACATTTTTCTATAGGTCATCGGACGCTCGAGCGTCCACTTCCACGCTCGAGCGGGACTTCGTCTGCAGAACTTCTGAAAGTGTGCATTCGACGCTCGAGCGGTGCTTTTCACGCTCGAGCGGACTATGTATTATATCAGTCCGAGTTTTAGCTTTTTGGATCACTTTTTTTACCCTCTCTCTCTCTCTCTCTAACTTTTCAAAACCCAAACTTGAGAGCTTCTCACTCTAGACTTCATCTTCTCTCTAGGGTTTCATCTAGTTTTAGTGATCTTCCACCCTTGTTCCTTTGTAAAAAGTATAGAGCTTGGGGTGGGCTACATTTGGATCCAAAAATCTTGGGGTTTGGAGCATCTTCGAATTTCTTCATCTTCTCCTTTGAGCTCCGAAATTTGAGGTAGGGATAACCGACTTTATTCTATGAGTTTTAACATAAATTTTGGTCATTTTGGTTTGATGGTGTTGCTTAGTCATTTTGAGAAAGTTAGGGCTTGATTTGAGGTTTTAAAAAGGGGCTTTTCAAATGTTAAAACCTATGTGTGCATGAGACATTGAAAAATAGAATTGTTGTTGTTGTTAAATCAATGAAATTGAGCTTTTGGGCTAATATTGAGAAAAAAAGGAAAAATGCCCTAATTATGTTGATTAATTAATTTGGAAAAATGTGAAAGTGAAATGAAATACATGAAATTGGAAGATTGTGGGAGTAAATGGTGTAGTTGGATAATTTAATCACTCACCTATGAAAATGTCGATATTTTATCTGTTGATAAATTTATTATCTGTTTAGAGATAACTGCTTTGAGCTATCGGTAGAGGATAGTCTTGATTGTTGTAGACTTTGTATGATGATTAGGAAAAATTGAAATTAATCATATTTAATATGTCATTGAATATGACGGTTGGAGTAATACAGCAAATTTGTGTATTGATTGATCATGGTATATGATAAGTGTTTAAATACATTGTATATGTACTCCATGGTTTGAGAGGAGATAGGGGATGGACTCTCAAACCTATTTGGGAGGAGATAGGGGATGTACTCCATGGTTTGAGAAGAGATAGGGGATGGACTCTCAAACCTGTTTGGGAGAAGATAGGGGATGGACTTCACTGATACAACAAATCTGTGTATCACTTGAAGTATTGAAGTGTTTTAATATGAGTTATATTCTCATGTGAACTGTGAAGTATGGAAGTGTTTTAATCTGTGCTATAGTCTCATTGAATTGTTTGGCCAAGTTTTGAGCCATAATTATAAATCGAAACTGGATAACTGAAGGAAACTAAAATGAAAAATGGATGTACTTGATGTTGAATTGAAAAGTGTGTAAGTCGGTCTATAAGTGTCAACCATATGTCAAATGCTATTGTTTTAGTTATTTCTCATACTTGGTTTAGTATATCTCTGCTGGGCATTGGCTCACCCTATATGGGACATCATTTTCAGGTTTAGGTGTTATGCCACCTCCAAGGACGTAGCTTAGGAGGTCCTGGGTGTTGAAGACTCTTTTA